CGGAGGACGAGTGCAGCGATCGCGCCGGCCTGTCAGGTCCTGACAGGGGAACATCCCACCAGGTCAATGAACTGGATGAAAGCAGTCTTATAAACATCGATCAGCTGGGATCGTTCGCCCAAGCCAAGATCCCGCGAACGAACAAAAGGAAAAAAACTAGCGAGGATCAAGCTGAAGGAATAACAGTTTAAAACAAGTTCCGCCTCTTAGCGGACGCCAACGACTCGACTTAAGGAGAGGAGGAAATCCAAAATAAAACACAAAAGCAAAGTGAACAAGATAAGCCACACACACAGGGGCACACACATCACACATTTCCGCAAAAGGGTATACCACCAATATTCCACGAAATTCTGCAAGCAACCAGTACATTTCAAATTTAAAAACGAAAACTCATACATTTACAGAAACTGCAAGGCCGACTTTAAGTACTTCAAGAAATGCTTAGAAGAAAAGAACTTTAAATTTCACATATACACACCGAGCTGGAAAAGCTCCCAAAAAATAGTACTAAATGGCCTGCCGGATATTTCGAGTGATAACATACAAAACGAATTATAGACTAAGGACATAAACTGCTCTGAAATTTCAGTCATTGAGAAAAGAGAAGCCCTGATGCCGAATCACCCAGTCAGACTGCTAAAAATTCAAGCAGACAGCGACATAAAAGACGTCAGAGCAATTAAGCACCTGTTTAACACAAAAATCGAGTAGAGGTAATAAATTAGAGGCCCCAAAATGTGCTAACTGCGAGAAAGTTTACCTGGCAGGCTATTTAAAGTGCCCTAAGGCCCCCAAAATGAAAGAGCCCAATAATCACCTACCAAACCAACAGGTACAGGACTTCAACAAATTGATCCAGATTCTTGACACCGTTGAGAGGATCAAAGCCAAAATAAACTTGAACAAACTTCTAGCCAAACTAAGCCAAGTCAAACGTTGCATGAACTCATGTCACAGTAGCGAGCAAGTTCCGCTCGCATGTTTAAAAGCACTCAGAGGTAAGTGGGACGAACTAAAGCATTGTATTAACCAACACAATATAGACATAATGGCCGTTGGTGAAACAAAAATAGTTGAAAAAATCAAGTTAAAAATGCAATATTATAACATATACAGAAAAGAGAGAAATTCACACGGAGGAGGTGTGCTTATTATGTGTAGAAATGTAATAAGCCACAACCTGTTTGCAACTAAGACAAGTAAAATGGAAACTATAGGTATAAGTCTGACAAATCGGCCAAAAATCTTTGCAGCTTACTGCCTCCCCAAAGTGCCAATTACAACGTCAGGCTTAAATGCAATATTCAACACAGCAAACCAAGTGATCCTTATAGGGGACCTAAACGCCAAACATATAACCTGGAATAACAAGATGGCAAATAAAAACGGAACAACCCTTTTTAACTACACATTAAACAGACAAATAACAGTCATTGACCCAAAAGAGCACACTACTAGACCATACTCAATAAAACATAAACCATCTGCTATGGATTAAGCAGTCATTGAAAATCCACCACACGGTATATCCATGCAAGTGATGGACTAAACTCAAATTACTGCGCCTCCAAGCTAGGAAACGCAGTACAAAAAGTAGAAACACCACCAATCAAACCCAACTTCAAAAAAGCAGACTGGGCTAAATACAGTGAAATCCTGCACTCAAACATTCAAATAGACAATAAGTTAAGTACTACCTCCATTATCGATGCCAGCATTCAAACCCTTTCAGGTGCAATAATGAAGGCAGCAGAAATGGCAACACCAAAACATCAGACCAAACGCCTCTACAATAACGCCCTATAAAACTGTAAATATATAAAACAGCACACTGATACGCTGAAACCATATTATGACGACAGCAAAACCAAGCTAAACACCAAAAAAAAACATAGTGCATTGTGTTTATCACAGAAAAGGACAATTTACCTGAAACCATCGATCTCTTCAATCAACAAGTAAGACCAGACAAAGTCAAGTACCTGGGAGTTGTACTTGACAAGAAGCTCTAGTATCACAAACACGTAGACAGAACCATCACGAACACTGCTAAAGCCATCGGAGTCCTGCTGCCCCTGCTGGGCAAATCTACACTGAGAGATTAGTGGAACGCCCTCTGTCCTTCAGGTGGCGCGGCTGAGCTACCACGTACGTTGGGACGAGAGAGATTAGAATCTAATGTACTCATCAATAGCACCTTAATAGCACCATACTTGTGGCACATTGCTTGTGCTGCAAGAGTGGAGTGCCTGGCGTCCCACGCTGGGTCGTCTCTTGTCCCAACGTACGTGGTAGCTCAGCCGCGCCACCTGAAGGACAAAGGGCGTTCCACTAATCTCTCAGTGTAGATTTGCCCAGCAGGGGCAGCAGGACTCCGATGGCTTTAGCAGTGTTTGTGATGGTTCTGTCTACGTATTTGTGATACTAGAGCTTCTTGTCAAGTACAACAGCTCCCCTGCCGAGCGTTGAGTATAATATATTATAATGTACTCGACGCGCATATGTGTATGTAACGCGCATGTGTGCATACGTATATAGATGTATATTATTGAATGCGTTTGTATGTATGCACGTTCATGAATCGTGTTGCTTTAAAATATATTAAAAATAATACGGTATGTTTTAAGATTGATCAATTNGTGGCTTTTATACATATATATATAAATATTAGTATACATTTATTTTAAAATATAGTTAAATTTGGTCATTAGTTTTTTATCTTCGTATGTAATGTTGGTAGGATATACCATTTTATTCGCTTGTAAGTTACTGGGCTCATATGTTATTTTTTTGTTATTGCTATTTCTAGATAAATGGTAAATCATTGATATACCTTTGCTGTTAGTTATGTATTTGTTATTATCTAGGTATAAAATCGCAAATGGTGGAATAAACCCTGTTTTAAGTGTACTTACTATATGTGTAAGTATATATATGTATATATATATTAAGTGTGTTTTATGGCATCCTTTTACAGTTAAACAATATTTTATGGCATCCAAATTAGTTTATGGCATCCGGATTCCATTAACTTTTATGTAGAAAGGGCTTATGGTATCCGGATGCCATAAAAATCATACATTAAAGTTGAAATCATAGTTTATGGTATCCACTAGTAATAATATAATTAGCACAAAAAATATCGTCAAAAATAATGAATATTCAATAACTGAAGTTGTAAGATATAAAGATAAAAATTAAAAATCAAAACTTATTTTTTATAATAGTTTGTTTGAACAAAAATTTTTATTTTACAGTTTGGAGAGATAATTTTTTTCTATAAAATACAGTTATAGGGTTAGTATGTATAAAAGTTTTTAGAAATAATATACAACATTTCGAATTTTCGTTACTTTAAAAATCATTTTTGTGACAGAGAAACGCACCGGTAGCACCTATACAGTGAATAGTATGTATAGATATGTCCAGTACTGATGTGCTATATATCATATACATACATTATTATCTATAAGATACAAGTAACTTATCTAGTGGATAGTATAAATAGCTTGTGTCGTGGACATATACTGTACCACGAACCGGAACAGACCATGCACTAGATATCGGGACAACTGCTGTACTGTATAGATAGTACTGCTGCTGTACTACGGTGGTCCGCCTAGCGTTCAAAGTGGCTCGCCAGCTGTCCCGCTGCCTGGGTCGGTAGGCGTATGTTACATTAGGACTCTATCCGACCGTGCGAGGACAAAGGGCGTTCCACTAATCTCTTAGTGTAGCAAGTTGTCTACAAAAAACAAACTCTTAATCAACACAACGGTGATAAGGCTAGCCTTCCTGTATGCAGCCCAAGTGTGGGCAGCTAGGATATCGCCCACTAACAGCAAAAGATTGCAACGTGTACAAAATAGATGCCTCAGAATGGCATTGGAGGCCCATAGGAAAACCAAAGTCATAGAACTGCATGAAAGGGCCCATATGCAACCACTAAATACAGTAACAACAAACCAAGCCAAATCATTCTACCAGAACATCAATCTGGAATCGCTGATCTTCCTTAAAGAATAAAAAGAAGACGCAATTCCATATAAAATAGAATATAAACCCCCACAAGCAGGCTGTCTGGATTAACCCAAATATGGACATTCAAATCAGCACTCCAAATGACTTTTTACCAACCAAATCTAGGTATGCCCTTAGTAAGAAAAATAGATTTCGCACCTGGTGCACCACCAGGTACGAAAACTACTATTTTCTTTTTAAGGCGTTTTTTTAAACATTTGGACGTATAGTGCGCCCTCAGACGGAAAAATAGGGTTCGTACCTGGTGAACATCCAATCAAGACAAGCACAAAGAGTCCCTCAGGCCGGGTGCTTGCTCTGGTAACATGCGTCATCAGGTACGAAAACGACCATTTCTCATACTGTGTCAATTAATGTGTAGTGTATTACTGTAGTACGCTAGCTTGTAAGAATACAAAATAAAAATAAAAATATGAGCAAAATTTTGTCTTCCAATTTATCAGAAACGTAGTATCAATAACGTAGACCACTTGAAGCGCGTCTAACATAAGAAGTTGTAGTAAAATTTTAAATATTTATTACAGTGATGATAATTTCAACGATAGCTCAGTTCAGTAAAACGACTGTTCGTGAGAGGAGGGGGTCTGAAGTATCGACAAGTTTACGGAAATTCTATAAAAACTCTGAAAGATTATTTCATTGACGTTTATTCTGACGACATCTTATTGCGGTGACACCTCAGTGCGGCTATAGCTAATGACTATTCATTATTTCGATAGCTTATCACGAAGCAGTTTACTTTGATTTTTCATTTTTACTGCTTTGTCATTGGCTGTCGTAATAATGAGTAGTCCTTTTCTGATCCCACAATTTTATTTCCATTACAAATCAAACTTGTATTGCAGTAATGCAAAACACCAAAGTAAAAAATTACTAAGCAGGATTAAATTTATTTAGGAATATCTTAAAAATTAGAATAAAGTTGTTCTTGATTTATAAATTTCTTTTTTTTTCAGATTGTAGATGTCACTGCTAGTTCTGTAAACATGCTGCCAACTAAAACTGAAATCAAGTTAAAAAAAAGCGAACCTGGTAGCTGGAGTAAGTTAGATATTCAACGTGAAAATCTACATCAGACTGAACAAATACGTTCTGAAGATAAAATTACTTCTCAAGTAAATGCCGTTGATTTGAGTGATCTGTAAACTTTTAAGTTATCTTTAAACAATTCAAAATAATATCATAATAATTTGTGAGCCTGTTATGTTATATATGTAACTATATTTTTTTGAAGTACACTGGCTCATCTAAAAATTTATGATTAACGGAAATGGACCTATGTTCTTGTATTCTATGTTGTGTGAGAGACCCTTAATGGTACGATGTTTCTAAAAAACAGTTTATGAAATTACATAAAAAAATACTTTTCTTTGTGTTTTTATTTTTAGCATCTTTTATGAATAACTTCAAAGTGCATAAGAATTCATCTGTCAACTTCAAATTGACGTACACTTACGTAGTCTTGATAAACTAAAGGTAATTGAACTCCATAAAGTATTAGACATTTAGCGGATCTAAGTCAATTGTTGTAGGATTAGGGTATGTATGCGATGAAAAACTATTATGTGGCTTTTTAAATGATTTTATCCCTAACTATACCTTCTACTCGTGCTTAAAAACATAAGCCAGAGCGATTTCTATCCTCTTCTTAATTTATTCCATTATTTCTGGTCTTACGAATAATGCTGCCTTTTTTTGTGAAGTTTTGTGAGGTTATGAGATATTTTGTTATCACTGATAAAATTTTTATTGAAATTTCGGTACGGATAAGTGAAGTAAGCACAACATAAGTACTTAAAAGTATAGTACTGTAGAAATATACACATTAAATTTGGTTAAATACTAATACTAACTACTTCGCTCTCAGTCAACTTCATACTTTAACGTTTTTTACATATAACAGATTCAAGATACTATTCTTTTAAGCTCTGCATTGCAGTGTTATTCTGCATACATATTTTATCGCTACAAAAATTAACCCTTATGTCGGTTGCAAGCTACGAATCAAATATTCTGTCGAGTTTATTACCTTCTAGCGCCGACTTTTCTCATTATTTTTCAAGAAATCTTACAAGCTGCTATTTTGAGCTCTTTTTTAATCATTATATTCTCATCTTTTATCACTAATAATCTTCTTACTCAACTTAAAATCTCTGATAAAAGACATATGTCAAATCCACCCCCTCTCTTAATAATGTTCTTCTCCTTCAAAACTGTTCAAATTATTGCTGCTATCACTTTTAACATTGTATTTATCTTAACTCCTTTAAAACCAAGTTCCTTCACGTGAACAATAAAAACATATAACGTAGCTTTACTTACATCAAACTTACAGATCGTAAAATTGTATTCTGTGAAACCATTAACTTTCTTGTGAAAAACTCCCGAGTCAAAAGCGAAACTTGTAGATTCGTTATACAAACAAATAAATTTAATTTTTGCTTGTCAAGAACCAACTGTTCATTGCAAGACCTCTCTTTCTCTTTCTTGTTGTGCACTTTCCTTTTAAATCCGTTCACTTGACATTATGGTGTCATTAAGTTTTATCTAGTATTATGTCTATAACTGTAATTCTATAAGGATAAATTTTATCTTATGTAGTAAAGTAGCTGCGTATTAAGCTTTTCTTTTATATTACGCTCTTGTGAAATATTTCATTTACTAAGAACAGTTTGATATAGTTAAATGTCAAGTCTGTCTTTCGTTTCAATTTATATGTTGAATGTCGTACGAGATATTTATGGATACGTCAGATTTTTTAAGATATTTGCTACGTGCACAATTTTAAAGCAGCGCCAATCAGGAAAAAACGAGAACTATTTGCCTCGCATAGCAGACGGCAGTATTCGCAATTCGTGCTATGTATACAATGTTTGTTTTCGTTTTCGAAGTCAAAGCTTCTGCGTCTTTGCAGGTTACGCCAGCTAATAGCTCTAAAAGATACACAGTATAACATATTCCATTGCATTTAAATCAAGATGTTTCAATAAACATAGATAAGTAAAATGTATATATACTACTTGTAATTTTAGTGAAAATTTATTCCTTAGAAATATTGTAGATGTATAAAAACACAACTTTCTTATGCTAGTAATGCTTAGCAGACTGCTAGCAGAAGACAAACATATCGTTTAGTTTCAGATATTAGCACAGGTATTGCTGCGATCGCTTTTTCAGATTGTGCACGTAGCAAATATTTCTATAGGCGCGCTATGCGCAAGGGTAAATCAACGATTTCAGATTCTGATCTTGAGAAAAAGTGCGACAGAAGTGGATTTTGCTTGATTCTCTCCCTTCGCCTCGTCCTCCGTGAGATACTTCCGGTCCCTTCTACGTTACACCACGTCAGCACACCATACATTTTGAATTTTATAAATTTTTTTTTTTTTTTTAAATGTT